GATATAGCATTTGGAGCTGACATTCCTATGTTTATCTTTTCCTCCTTCTCTGCATAGCAGCAGGAGCCTATAATTATCCATACAGTTCACATGAGTAACCAAGCAGAGATGAGATGTGTGGAAGGGATGGATGGCTCCTTCTGCTGAATGTCTGCCTGATTTCAGCAGATACCATGTGCTGCTCCTGATGGATGTAATCAGTGGCGTGATCATGGTGGCTGAAACATGTCCTGCAGATTGAGATTTTATGCTGTTTTTCTGCAGTCCCAGTTCAATGTCTTCACAGAGCAATCCTTTGTTTCTTCTGATCTCCTGCTCTTTTAATCTTCTTTACATCTTGAATTATTATTGTGCTGAGAACAGAAACCATACAAAGTGTAGAATGGAGCCAGAAAATATACTGAGTGTAGAATGGGGGGAGAAAACATACCGATGGAGGGGATTTATCAAAACTGGAGCAGACGAAATCTGGAGCAGTTGTCCATGGCAACCAATCAGCTTCTCTTTTCAGTTTGTTCAGTTAAGATTTGAAAATGAAAGGTGGATGGTGATTGGTTGCCATGCACAGCTGCTCCAGATTTTGTCTGCTCCAGCTGGATAAATTCCCCTCTATTTATGTAGAAAAGGGGTCTGGAAACATATAGAGGGGAATTTATCAAAACTGGAGCAGTTATCAATCACAACCGATATGTTGGGGGAAGGTGCACGGGGTGGAGGAAATATCATGAGCTCAGTTTTTGAAAGGTTGAGTTTTAAGAAATGTTGTGACATCCAGACTGATATGTCATTTAGTAGATTAGTGACACGCAAGGACTCTGAGGGGGAGAGTTGTGGAGTGGAAAGATAAATTTGAGTGTCATCCGCATAGAGATGGTATTGGAAGCCATGTGAGGTTATTAGTTGACCAAGGGAGGAGGTGTAGATGGAGAAGAGGAGGGGTCCAAGGACTGAGCCTTGGGGGACCCCTAAAGAAAGAGGAAGAGGAGGGGAGGAGTTAGAATTGTAGGTGACACTGAAGGAGTGTCACCTTAAGTTTAGTTTACTAATTTCAATAGAAATTAGTAAACTAAACATGAGATTGTAGTGCATCACGGGAGCGAGCTTGGAGCCGTGGATACTTTACAACACACACAGGGACCATGGGGAACAAAAGTAGCCACCCTCCAGAAGGAAGGACAGTGTCAGCACCAATTCAGAGATGAGGATCTACAGCCGAGTGATACACAAATAAGGTCCAGTATTGTTAATAGTTAAGGTACTTAAATGCATTTTTAAGATTTAACTCCTGAGTTTAGTGTCACTCTAAATGTGCTTGTTTAGAATATGTCAATTCTTTAGTGTCCATAATCTGTGCACAAGTCCACTTCAAGAAAAAAATTCCATTTGATAATTTTTTAACCTGTGTTTTTGCTTCTGAAGCTTAGATGGCTGTCAAAATCCTGATTACCTGATTTACAGCAGGCACACAGGGAAATCTGTTGAGTGCATCCTCCTTGGCCATGGGAAGTCGGTAGAAGTCATGGGTGTTAATTTACTAAAGGCATATAGGCTCTTCACTTTGCAAGGAAATTTGCACTTAGAGAATTTTCCCTTAGCATAGTAACTGTGTAGAAAATCCACTTGCAAATAATACCCAATCACATGCAAGAAAATGATGGCAGTCAGCAGAGCTTCACCTCCTTCAATAAACTAAGGGCAATTTTTCTTACAAAGTGCAAATTTCCTTGCAAAGCAAACAGCCAATATGCCTTTAGTAAATCAACGCCATGGTGTCTCTGCCTGCCCTGCACATTATAACAATAACATGGAGCACAAGAATGAAACTTGTTGTTCTTGATTCATTCCACTTCATCAGGATTTGTGGCTATATATAAATCCTACTTTTTTTTATTCATTCACATGTATGAACTGTTAGAGTCAGGGGAACCCTACATACAGTAAGTTTAATCAGATGGTTATTGTGAGTCAGAGACAAAGCTCTAATCAGCGGCGAAAATGAGGGTTGTTAATTTAATTGCAGAGCTACAGAGAGAAACATACAAAGGAAGGATCCTTTTCTGTAACATGCTAGAAGGGAACAAGCTTGTCTTCTTTCTAAAGGAAACGAACTGTAAGGGATATATTTATAAAGCCGTAAAATGTGAAATTCAATAAGACACTCACTACAGGTGTGTTATCCTTCAGTGAATATTTAGTGACTGTCACATTTATTGCTGAATAAATATGCCGCAGAGGGTCTATTTCTCAGTTTTCACACAATATTCACAAAATTTTTACAAATTTTTCCAATCAAATCCAGTTAAAAATGTGCAAATCGAGAGTAAAAGTGATATGTTTCGATTGTAAGCCCTCTTGAATTGTATTGTGATTGTAATGTTTAGGTTACATTAGGTAATTAATCTTCTATACAATAAAATAAAAAAGGGTGGAATCAAATAATGTCTTCCATGAGTGGGTATGCAACCAGGTGCATGTCGTGCGCAATGTATGCGTTCCTTGAACATGCGTTCGAGGGGGAATACATTTGCGCTAGATGTGAGCGAGTTGTTTGTTTGGAAACCCAGATTCTGGATCTAAACAACAACACTAAGGAACATAACCATCATGGAAAAGAGTCTGGATATAACACACCAGGCTGTCGTGGAGGGTGGTCTGGATGGGGAGGGGGGGTCGGAGGAGCAGGATCCCGAGGTGGGTAGCTGGGTTACTGTTAGAAGGCGGGTATCACGTACCTGGTAGGGAGACCGAATGTTTGAGGAGGCTTCTCTTGCACCTCGTGTCTTGTGGCCTTTGAGGTTGGGGACAAAGGGCAGGTATTATGGAACATGAATTAAAGTTGAGGGTTTGAGATATATGAGAGTTCAGCTCCAGGGTAATTTTCCAGAATCGATGTAATGTTTGTGATGCTTCTGTGTTTCTTTTAACTTTGTCTGCTCTTTTTCTTAACAACTTGCGAATTTTGTCTCTGGAATCCCTGTCTGACTCCAGGCTCTCTACCTTGTACAGCAAACACTGCTGTGTTTAATTGGATTGAAAAAAAAACTTGTTTCCAATGTTTGAGACACCCTTTCCTTGGCAACACTTGCTCTTCTAGCCTCTGTTACCACAATACATAATTGGGGGTACTTGTACTCAATATTCACATGTTAAGGGGTACTTTAATTATGATGCATCTTACAAGAGGGTACTTTTTAAGTGTGGAGAAGTAAAAACATCTGTCTCTTTTAAATACTGAAGACAGGGCTCAAAATTTCCACTCGCCTGCTTCGCAGTTGGCGAGTAAAAATAAGGTGATGACGGCCCGCGAGCCGGTACTGTGTGACCCACAGCCAGCTGACATGTCAGGCACACGGTGCCTGACATGTGGGAGCTGCTCCATGGTCTGCATCTCTGTTGGCCGCAGAGCAGCTCCTGTCAGCTCTGGCTTCCTTTGGCCGGAGCTCGCACAGTTCCTACAGTAGAAGCGGTCGCACGCTGCCCATACACCTGCTGATTATCGTACGATCGCAGGATCACCCGCGATTATCGTACGATAATTGGCAGGTGTATGGGCATCTTTAGCGTATGTGTATATTAGGCCCCATTCACACCTACAGTATGTTTCAGGTGTGATAAGAGATTCCTGTGTCAGAAACTTGCGTTTTCCTGCAGCAGGAATCCCTAAATAAGATTATTTAAGAGGGTGTGTTTAGGGGTGGAGTTAAGGCCGGGGCAGGGTTAAGGCCGTGACACACTGCACGCAAAGCAGCGCGGAGCGGTGGCACGCTGCCTTTGCGAGGAGTGTGTCATGTAATTTTCTCCTGGGCACCTCAGCTGGCGAGAGCTCGCGGAGCTGAGCGTGCCAAGATGAACAATTTCAACTCGACGGGATGCGACGTCTGGCCGATTGGCTGAAGGTGCAGTCAATCATCTGACTGCACTCAGCTCACACACTGCACGCAAAGCTCCATGCCGGATAACTTTGCTTCGCTCTGCATGGCTTCGCGTGCAGTGTGTCACGGCCTTAAGGGTTAGGTGGGGCAACTGGTGGCTAGTGGCTCTTAAGGCCCGGCTAGTAGCTCAGGACTTGAAATTTTGAGCCCCGCTGAAGAGATTAAACCTCACTTTGAAACCTGTCACCTGGACAGGATGTGAGGGGAAATTTCCTCCCTGGGGACACAGACAGCAATGAATTGCTTACAGAGATTCCAACTATTTGGCAAACTACTAGAACATTTGCTTTTATTGCTCTTCTGTCTGTATCCTTTCAAAAAGATTTAGGAGAAATCTCCCAAACAGGAACATAGTAAAATAAAGAACAGAAGTTCAAACCCTTTCCCAATTTATCCAAAACTGAAAAAGTTACTATTGGATTTGGGCTTCCATAAAGTTGATGAAAACTAGTAAGTTTGTAAAGTCATTGTAGTAAGAAGTATGCTCACAAAACAAAAACAATGTTGTTCTTTAACCGGTTTTATCTCTACTCCCAGAGCTAAGTACTGTGATATTTAATCAGATAAAAGAATTGTGTCCTGTTCTTTTTTACAGAGCCACATATTAAACAATGGAACTGATACGTGGCAAAACATTTATCATTAGTTATGCACAAAACCCTTCAGAAAAGGTGCCTCAACTTGGATGTAAAGATAAAAAAAAGATAGAAGGTCAGAAGAATCATGCTCAATGTAATATTAAAAAGAATGTTAATAATATTAAAAAGAATGTTAGAGGAACACAAAGAATGTCTAACAGTATTTGCACAAAAGTGACAGTGGATAATATCCAATGTCCAAAAAGCGTTAAGAAAAGTAAAACATATGATTGTGTTACAAGAGATGACAAATCAGATAAAAACAGTGGTGTGAATGAACATAGAAGACTTCCCAGTAGTGTAAGTTCCCCGGGACTCATTGAAGACCCAGGTGGCAAAAGGAATGATCCACAAGCTACCAGACCATCAACATGCAAACAGACTATGATTGACTATAGAAACTTCGTGCCTCAAATGCCTTTTGTGCCATCAGTTGCAAAATCACTGCCAAAGAAAAGAATTTCACTGAGAAGATCTAAGAAGAGTTTAAGAAACATGTTTAATTTGAAAAGAAACAAGCAACAAGACACCATATCAGAAGACGAGAGGCTTCAAATAGTAAATCTTGAATCAAACGGAGGAAAAATAGTCCAAAAACAGTGTCAGTCTAATGTTGGTGAAATGCATTCCGATGAGCTCTTAGCTTCAGAGTTCCCTGACCGTGAAATGTACATTGATTCCTTCAAAGCACTGTGTGAAGACGTGGCATCTCTGAAGAGCTTTGATTCACTAACTGGCTGTGGAGAAATCTTTGCAGATGAATGTTCCTCTTTTATTGATATAGAAAACTGCAGAGTTACATTTATTTCAAAGCCAAGTCCCATAGCTGCTAATTTCCAAGGTGGAGGAGAGAGGCTTGCCTCACCGGCCAAATCAGAATCTATAGATTTCTCCAGATTCCATGGACATGCAAAGTCACTGCCAACAAATTTAAGTTCAAATGGACTTTTTGAAGCTATATCATTGCCCGATTCCAATGATACAATCAGAAAAGAAACTGACAGCATTATGTCAAGGGACCAAGTTTCTTGTTCATCCTATAATGATCTCATGTCTTCTAGTGAGAACATTAATGACCCAGAGTCTCCAAAATCCACTAGTGATGAAGGATATTATGATTCATTCTCGCCTAGACTAGAAGAAGAGAAAAATGAATTGCAAACACGTAGATCATTCCCAAGAGACAGTTACAGCGGAGATGCCCTCTATGAGTTATTTTGTGACTCTGGAGAAATTAAAAAATGGCCCAGTCGAGACTGTGACATGCCAGCATCTGGCCACAATGCTGAAAATCCTACATCTATCTACAGTTTTTGTATAGGATCTGAAGAAAATATGGCATCTCAGCCACCATATGATCTGGTGGGAGATGGTGTTCTCCAAAGTACTTGGAACGGGAGAGAATGTTTGTTGAAACTATGTGACACTGAACTGACTTTAACCATGGGAATGGTCAATTGGTTAAAGAAGACAGGAAGGATAACAGATTCTGAAATCAATGATCAAAATTCTACTTCTGATGAAATGGAAACAATGGAAATTGGATCAAAAATAGGGAATGGGACTGAGGCACTTCAGACAATTGCATCAAGAGATGAAAGTTTGGAATGTTACAAATCACACAGGGGATATAAAGAAAAAGAATATTGCAGTATAATTAGTCATATCAGAGATTCTGAAAACATATTAGCTGATATCTTGTCTGGCAACACATCTGAAGAGCCAGCCACAACTATTACAGAGTCCATGGGGGACTTGCCTGAAAAAGGCTTCCCATTTGAAGAACATTTGGATGTAAAAGATTCAAGTCTAGAGTCACCAGTCCAAACTTCTTTAAGTGAAATTAATGAAAACCAAGAGAAGTTGCATTTATCAAGTTCAGAGTGTAAAAATGTGGTGTCTACTTGTAAAGAAGATGGCACACATGTACCATCTCTTCATAATCGTCTTAACACTTTGCATTCATTAGGCCTACAATGTATCACAAGCTCCATGTCAGAAAATAATAGGGGTCTGACAGAGATTTTGGATAAATTTACAGCTCGCCTGTCATCACTGCATATAACATTCGGTAGTCAAAACACCTTGCATGGTACAAGTAAAATAGCGCGGCCAGATGAAGTTGCTCACAACATTAAGAATTTAATAGAACAATGTGACCCTGAGCCTCAACCACCACTGCTTCAACCAGCACTATTGACCAAATGTGAAAATGAAACTGACAAGAAAGATCTGAAAAGCTCTGAAAATCCACTTTTATCGAACACTCTTTCAATTAAGTATTTAAAAGAAGGCAATGAATGTACAGCTAGCAGTCAAATGCCAAAGGAAACACAATCCAGAAAGATCGTCAACAAGGCAAATTTCCTACCTCTTTTCAAATCCCCATGTTCATCCGTGATTTCGCGATTCTCCTCTACTCTGTACAAAGTTCGCAAACCAGGAGATGCTGTCATATTTTTTAACACAGGAAAGTATGACCAAACATCTGCTTCTAATGAAGACTTTGCACATGATTCGGATGGTCTGTCAATAGATTTTCCCAAATTCAGAAAAGACAAGTTTGAGCCCATTAGCCCTACACCTGATACTGAAGAAAGAGGTATGTAAATGACATTTTCACCTGAAATGGATATTTTCTTTGTAAGCTAAATAAATGGAACATTCAGTACAGAAAGTGAAACCCTCTTGTTATGACTGTGAACGATAAACAGAGCAGGAATCTTATTTGGATTGGCCTCTCCAGTAGAGTCCCTCTAGAGATATGAGAAGCCAATGGGTAAATGAGCAAGCTAAGCCACTGGTATCTGTTAATTTATGGTGAACAAAGCCT